CTCGTAAATACAAGTGGGGTCTTGTGATGCTGGCGGTTCTGTCGACTTGTCTTGTGGTTCGAGGTGTGTGGAAAGCTGCATCGGTGGTCCGTGCCTGTACCAAGGTTCGCCTCAGCGACATGGTGGCTCTCATAAGGGGGGTATTGTTCGATAACACTTGGGTGCATGATGAAAATCAAGTGGCAATGTTGGTTGGGTGTCGAATGCCAGGGAATGGAGTGGAGGTGGGAAGGTCTGCGGGGCTCGCGTGCTTCAGCCAGTGCGTTTGGCTTTGCATCACCGTTCGCAGTTGGGTACGGGTGTCAAGAATGATCGCATGATTTGTAGGGGCTAGGAACTGTTGTGGGTGTCTTTGTTTTGTGGCGCGGACGTTTCGGTTGCATGGATGTTGCGGTGGGATGGGGCCCGGTGTATGGCGGTGAGTGGGTAGCGGCTTGCGTTTTGGTTGCCCTTGGTGCCTGGCAGGCAAGGACGTCGTTCGGGCAGATGTAGATATGAGACGGAAGGCGTGTTGGCGTTTAAGCAGGCGTGCCACCCGTATGTGTGCCTGATTGGCGATGGGTTATGGGCGAGCTAGGTGAGGAGGGAAGGCGAGCTATGCGGGCGTTTGCGGGGTGTTGAGGGGAGAAGGTGAAAAGGACCCTGCCCGCGAGTAGTGGCGAATGACGTTACGCACAGAAGGTACGCATTACAAACCTTTGGAGCGACCTCAAAAAGCAAATGGCCTCCTTTGATGTTGGGGGTTCTGGGCATTGAGATGTGCGGAAAGCTTGCTTAGTTGTCTGTGTGTGCACGAAGGCTCTCCTCACCGAGATTGTGGCTCTGCGAAGGCTGACATTGCACGATGTTACTTGGGTGCATGATGAAAATCAAGTGGCAATGTTGGTTGGGTGTCGGCTGCCAGTGAATGTAGTGGAGGTGGACAGGTCTGCGGGATTGACGTGTTGATGCAGCCAGTGCGTTTGGTTTTGCACGACAGTTTGCAGTTGGGCACGGGTGGCAAGAATGATAGCACGACATGGAGGAGCGAGGAACTGTTGTGGGTGTCTTTTGTTTGTGGCGTGGACGTTTGGGTTGCATGCCTGTTGCGGTGGGGGCGGAGTCCGGTGAGTGGTTGGCTGCGGCTTGCGTTTTGGTTGTCCTTGGTGCCTGGCAGGCAAGGACGTCGTTTGGGCAGATACCTTCGTGAGCTGGAAGGCGTGTTGGCGTTTGAGCTGGCGTGTCACCCGCGTGTGTGCCTGATTGGCGATGGTTTGTGGGCGAGATAAGTGAGGAGGGACGGAGAGGTATGCGTCGATTTCCGGGCTGTTGGGGAGAGACAGTGCAAAGCGGCCTGTTCAGGAGTAGCTGCGAATGGATGCGCACAAACTGTACGCATTGCGAACCTTTGGAGAGGTCTCAAAAGGCAAATGGCCTGCTTTGATGT